CAACTGTTCTTATGTTTTAGCCTAATCCTCTTTGTTGCTCTTCTCTGCACTCTTTCTAGAGTCTCAGCATCTTTTCTACATCGTGGCCACCAAAACTGGATGCCGTATTCCAAGTGTGGCTTTATAAAGTGGTATTAAACCTTCACATTATCTTGATTCTATCCCTCTGTTGATGCAGCCTAGAACTGTGTTTAGTCTGGATCTGGCATTAAGGTCATCAGTTCTGAAAAGGAGTAGAGTTTGAGGGGAGAGGAGGAGGGGGGGAAGAGTGTGGGGTCCTTGGTGCTCTTTGAACTTGGTTGTTTTCTTGCAGACATTTCATTACCGAACCAGGTAATGTCATAAGTGCTGAAAAGGAGTGGGAATAGAGGAAGGATAAAAGGAGGAGTAAGAGAAGGATACAAAATGTATCTGAATAGTAGGATTTGCATTAGTTTTGCAGCCAATGGAATATTCATAAACACACTTTCAATAATAACTGCTCCATCACTGAAAGCTTTTAAGAAGGGATGAAACAACCATTTGTTCAGAATGGTATTGGGTCTTCTGCATGCGCTGGAGGTTGGACTAGAAGACCTCCAAGGTCCCTTCCAACCTAGTTACTCTGTATCTGTATCCACGTATCAAGGACCCAGGAAAGGCAGATGTTGTGGTTGGATGGGGTTAAAGGCATTGCATATCTTTCTGATTTGTTATCTTCTCCAGTGTTTTCTCTTCTGCTGTCTCCCAGATACTGCCACTCTCCCCTGTTATTATTCTTATGGCTTGTCACTCAAGCAGCCAAATATTTAGATTGCATTTGGCATTTTGGGCCACCTATTCCTGTAGCTCATGGTTAAATTGGGCTCCTTGCTGCCCTCTGCGCTTGGTTGTTTCATTGCAGACTTTTCGTGAACCTACTAGGTTACATCACCAATGTTAGTGAGTGCGGGGTTTGATCTCTTGTATATATACGGTAGTTTGCCTTGCAAGTGTGGTTTTCTCCTTGATAATTCCTCAGTTAAGATACTATTGTTTGCTTGATAGGCTGGAGTTAATCCCTGATTATCTAAGCATGGGCAGCTGGAGAGGATGTGTTTTGGTCTTTTTCTTTCCTTATTTTTTTATTGTTTCTTTTCAATGATGGTGAAATATCTTTATCTCTCTGTGTCTGTGGATGGCTGACTGGTCTGAATAGCATAACTTTTCCAACAGTTTTGAGAGTATGCCAGATTTTTATTTTTTTCTGAATGGGACCGATTTTCCTTTTTTAAATTTTTTTTAGATACTCGCAGGTTATTCTGAAAAATGCTCGGATTCTTAAAGCAGCCAATTGTCTTTTCGGTGGAAATCAATGTCAATCTGGTGGTTTTGACTGTGGTTGGATTGGTCAGCCGGCTGTGGGCTCTATCCTATCCCAGAGCTGTAGTGTAAGTAAACATATTCCTGGAAACTAGAGGATACGCAGGGGTCAAAGGGGGGGGGGGGATAGAAAAGAAAATACTAGTATATAAGTATATATTCAAAAGTAAGATACAAAACGGGGGAGGGGGGAGATAATCAGGATAGATTTGAGAAGGAAAGGGAACAAGAAATGATACCCAGTTATTTTGGCTTTGGAGAAATGCCACCCCAAGAAAATAAAAAATAAGAGCTGGAAGAGGCACCTACAACAATAGAAGAAGAAAGGGAGAGAGGAGGAGAGGAGAGGAGGGAAGGAAGGAAGATAGAGGTAAGGAGAGGAAGACAAAAGGAAGAGACAGAGAAGAAGAAAGGGTGGGAAGGGGAAGAGGAAGAGAGGAGTAGGGGAGAGGTAAGAGAAGAAGGAAGGGAAAGGAGAGAAAGAAGGAAGAAAGTGAAGAAGGGAGGGAGGGAGAAAAGAAAGGAAAAATAAGGTGGTTTCAAAACAGGCGAGGGATGGTAAACTAAGCAAACCAAACATTATGCTTTAATCCTGTAAATGGAATGTCAAATGCATAAGAATGATGAATGTAAAAAAGAATAATAATTATGTGAATGTATGCCTATAATTTTATGTAAGAAAATAAAAACTTTTCTGAAAAAAAAAACATATTCCAATATATGGGGATACCATAGATTTAGTAGACCAAAAATGTCCATATCGACAATGGCTTTTCCGGGAATTAAAATGAAACTTTTCTCTCTGTTTATAAAGACTGTCTGCGGAAACCTCACCGTTGCGTTTTTACAATCTTTTAATCTAGACACATAAAACTATTTATTATTCAGTCCAGCTTTTGGTGTGTGAAAAAGCCCTTGAAAACAAATTGAGATTAACATTAATCAAGTTGTCATGGTGCACAATGGAGCTCAGATGGAATTGTAGCTGAATGGATGAATAGAACTAAACTGCTAAATTTGGCTTCATGCTACATTGTGCTTCTGTTATGCAAGATAGTTTGCTACTTACAGACGTAATTTCACCCAAAACTTCAGCTGCCGAGGAAGAGACAGTTGCTAAAAGTCAGTTTTGCCTCATTTTGTGACCTTACTTGGCATCTCAGATGTTAAGTGAAATCACTTTTAAAAACCATGTTACTAATTTGACAACAGCAGTGATTCGGTTACCACCATTTTTCACAGTAAACGACAGTTACAGCACTCCAACATGCTCATGTGATCAAAATCCAGAGGATTGGCCGCTGATTCACATTTGTGACGGTTGCAGTGGCTCCTGTGACCACGTATTCCCTTTTTATGACATTACGGCAAGCAAAGTCCATTGGGAAAACCAGATTCAGTTAACAACCTGAGTTCTCAATTTAAAACCTGCAGTGATTCACTTAACGGCAGTGAGCAGGAATAGTCATAAAGGGGTGCAAAGCTCACTTAGCAAATTTCTCACTTGGCGACATACTCAATTGTGGCAATAACGTCAATAACTCTCTGTAACCGTAATGCTTTTTGTTTTGGAATTGAAATCCGGTGAGTTTCTCTGTTGGGGTGACAAATCCAATTATTTGAAGGGTTTGATGAGAAATCTCTCTCTCTCTCTCTCTTTAAAAATTTTATTTTATTGTATTATTCCAGTTTTGATGAAGTTTACTACGGCCAGTTCCTCTCCTTGTACATGAAGCGGATATTTTTCATAGATGATAGCGGGCCGCCGTTCGGCCACATGCTTTTTGCTCTCGGAGGTATGCAAATTTTCAAAGAATGCATCCTGCAATAATAAATTAAGGCACCTCTCCCCACTCTGTACTGTCGGGAATTGGAATAATAATAAGCCACCTACAATCTATGCACGGCCATTTTGGCGAAGGGTGCAGGGTTTCAGGAGGCCAAAAATGCTATATTCAGACGCACCCAGATTTTCAGCCTCTTTTTTGAGGGGGAAAAAGTGTGTCTTATACTCTGAAAAATATGGTAGTCAAAACTTGAGCCCCGAGGCTATGACATTCCTGCCATGATTAAGGGTTTTATATAATGGAGCTCCCATTCTTTCTTTCAGGGTTATCTTCCTCTCCTCCTTTTTGTTAGTCATAATACCTGAATTTCACAATTTGTGGGTCAAGCTTTGTTCCTGGGCAGGAGTTTAATGTATTCTAATATTTTAGGACCCTTGCTTCAACCATTTTTAGTATGAAAGGTTTGTGCGGTTTTATGTATTATCTATTTTCTACATATTTTTATTTTTGTTGTGCGGCGCCCAAAATCCATGGCAGTGGAACATCGGGGCTATATGTCAATTCAAATAATAAAGAGTTGAACTAATTACTGCGTTTGTAAAAATTTACAAGATGTGTGTGGTGTCTAGATGGAGAAATTGGGGAAGGAAATCAATGTATTGCTGAAAAAAACATAGAGATGCAGTCAGATCTTTAATTTAAGTTTAGGTTCCGTGACCTGGAAAATTTATTTTTCTCTTTCCCTTCTTTTTCAGGTTATTTAGGGGGATTTGATGGAAATTTTCTGTGGAACAGGATAGGAGCAGGTAAAGTGGTTTATGATTCACCCAGCAGTTAAACATTGATAAAGACATGGCCACCTGTTCAAACTAGAGGTGGGGAAATAAAGGAAACTATAATGCTAGGGATGTGGTGGCTCAGTGACTAAGATGCTGAACTCGTTGATCAGAAAGGTTGGTAGTTTGGCGGTTCGAATCCCTAGCGACACGTAGCAGAGTGAGCTCCCGTGACCCGTCCCAGCTTCTGCCAACCTAGCAGTTTGAAAGCACATAAAAAATGCAAGTAGAAAAATAGGAACCACCTTTGGTGGGAAGGTAATAGTGTTCCGTGCGCCTTTGGTGTTGAGTCATGCGGCCACATGACCACAGAGACGTCTTCGGACAGCGCTGGCTCTTCGGCTTTAAAATGGAGGTGAGCACCACCCCCTAGAGTCGGGAACAACTAGCACATATATGTGAGGAGAACCTTTACCTTTATAATGCTAAAGGCAAAATGGTTAGAGTGCGGTACTTCTGCTGGCTGTCATCTGCCTGCAATTTGGCAGATCGAATCTCACCAGGCTCAAGGTTGACTCGGCCTTCTCTCTTTCCAATGTCGGTAAAACGAGGACCTGGATTGCTGGGGGCAAAAGGCTGACTCTGTAAACTGGTTAGAGAGGGTTGTTAAGCACCGTGAAGCAGTATATAAGTCTAAGTGCTATCGCTATGCCTGCATTTTAGGACGGTTCTGATTTTCGTCTTTATTCTATCCTAGAATACAGCTCCAATGTGCCCATCTGGGCTTTGCGGCTGCTACCAGCCATAGCTGGTGGCTTATGCGTCCCCTTGGCGTACCAAATCCTGGTTGAGTTGCATTTCACCCATTTCGTTGCCCTGGGTGCTGCGGTCCTGATTTTACTTGGTAAATAAGATCTCGTTCCTTTCAATCCTCTGTTGATGCCATCCTTATCATAGTTGTTGGTCCTTTCAACAACCGGTTGGACAAACTGGCTAAATCCCACTCCTGTCCTTATCTTTCTATTTTTTGCTGTAACTGGGGTCCCCCAACCTTGGCCACTTTACGGACTTCAGTCCTTAGAATTCCTCAGCCAGCCGTGGCCGAGGAATTGTGGGAGCTGAAGTCCATAAGTCCGAAGTTGGAGACCCCTCTGTATGGGCAGGGGGAACAATTTCTTATTTTTCCTTTTGTGATTCCACAGAAAATTCACTAATTACTCAATCCAGGTTGATGCTGCTGGAGTCCATTTTAATATTTTTCATCCTGCTGGCAGTTTTATCTTATCTGAAGTTTCACAATAGTCACAAACAGAGGTAAAAAAAAATGGCTTTAATGTTCCATTATTGTTTGCACTTAAACATGAAGTTCTCCAAGTCAGGCCAAGCAATAAAGTGTCTTCTGCATTTACGCTAAGGGGACCCAGACTAACATGGTTTATAAATGGTGGTTTACACCTCAGCCAAACCAAGATGCGGATGAATTCTGCAACAAAACTGGGCTTAAAACTTTTCTGTGGTTTTTTTTTTGTAGTACATAACATACAGATTATTCCTCAGTTTACAGCCACAATTGAGCCTGATATTTCTGTCACTAAGCAAGACAGTTATTAAGTGAATTTTGCCCATAACCTTTCTTGTCACAAATCTTAATTGAATGCCTGCAGTTGTCTGGAATGTCATAAGGCTGGCCTGTGAGTAAATATGTTTTTCTTTTCTTTTTAAGCCCTTTTTCTGCCAGGTGGTGGATTTGGCTGTTACTAACAGGGGTCTCCTGTTCCTGTGCAGTTGGGTAAGCTTATCTCCTGATGGTCTGCTAAGATATTTGATAACTGCTTTGTTCATAAGCATCTTAGCCGCTTCTTGAGATGACTTTAACACTCGTGGACTTCAACTCCCAGAATTCCCTATGTTGGCTGGGGAATTCTGGAGTTGAAGTCCACAAGTCTTAAAGTTGCTTAAAAGTTGGACACCTGTCTTAGATCTTCTGGCAATCTCCCCTTTCCCTTCTGGGCCCATCAAGGGTTGTCTACATGTTCTCCTCCTTACCTTCTCCTTCCAATTGGCTCGGTTGGGTTGACATTTCCTGCTTGCTTCGCAGGGTGAAATACATGGGCCTCTTCACTTACCTCCTCATTCTGAGCCTGGCAGGGATCCATTCCTGGCAACTGGTTGGAGATCGCTCCTTGTCCAACGTACGTCGGAGTGTGAAATGAGATGTAGTCGCTCTGAGGTGGTGGGAGTTGATCTCACCTTCTGGAGAACTTTGGATTTCAGAATCCGTGGGTTTTAGTTTTACACAACAGTTTTTCTTGGGACGTGTTCAGTCAAGGTTGCAAGGAATGTGCTTTCCCATACCTGTTTGATTGCAAAATTGTGAATATTGGTAAGTTAGAGGCAAGGCTCTCTAACATAGAGGTACCATATCCATCAATGATAGATAGATAGGTAGATAAGGTTAGATAGAAGGGGGTGGGGCGGGAGATTAGATAGATAGGTGTTGTGGCGCGGCAGGAGCTATTAGAGCTGTCGCCAGACTCCGACAGCGAGGGGTCTTATGAGTCGGCCTTGGAGGAGGTGGAGGACCCTGGACAGGGTGTCGACTCCAAGCAGGGCAAGGAAAGACTGGTTGGCCACCAGGTGGCGGCAGAGCATTGGATCAAAGGGAATGTTCCTGAAAGTATTGGGGAGTTTTATCAGGATGCATGCAGGCGTAGGTCTACTCAGCGTAAAGGACAAAGGAGTAACTACAGGAGGTGATTGCGAACAGCTGATCAAGATCCCCTCCTGCTGATAAAAGAGACTGCTGGTGCCACGGCCTGGTGGGTCTTGTTCACAACCCGACAGAAGCCAACATGGATAAGTGGTTTTGAGATAAGAGAAGCCGGGTT